CTCATAGCCTCCTGCCTTTCATGCAGGGACTACCCTGCCATATGCTGCCTGGCCACGGTGGCTCTCTTAAATCATAGAGGAAAATCCATGAGTACTCCATACTTCTTTCTTGCCTGTAAGGCCAGCGACACGTGAACTACACTGCCAAGTTCCACTGCCAGTTTGGGATGGACCCTCCACCCCTTGAATCACATTAGTGGCAGTAATTTTATTCAGTTGTTTCAAGGATCAGAAAATGTCTAACTTTTCTGAAAGAAGTAAGGAAGCCAATACAGGATGTGGAAGAAGACTCCAATAAAGCAAAATATTGAAGAAAATAAAACACTGAAATACTGGAAATGAAAATTCCAATAAACCAAGTAAGAAGCTCCATGGAAACTCTTACTAACAGGATGGATTAAGAAATGGACAGATTATATTTGAGCTGAAAGATAATGTAGAAGAATTGCAGCATTTAGTGATTAATATATCTTTTTAAGATACAAACATTTGAGATCTATGGGACATCAAGAAAAGAACATGTGGATTGTAGGTTTAGAAAGAGAAGGATTTCATGTTAAAGGCAGAGAAAATGCTTTCTCTTTCTAAAAGATTAATTTTTTATTATGTCTCTGGGTCGATATGTGGGCATGTGTATGTGATGGTGGGGTGCTCAGAGGCCAGACACATGGGATTCCCCTAGAGCTGAAGTTGCAGGTGGTTGTGAGCCACCTGAAATTGGGTGCTGAGAATCCAACCATGATCATCTGGAAGAGATCTTAACTAGTGAGCCACCTCTCCAGCCCTTTTCAATAAAATAACATAAACATTTCAAAATCAAGTGCAAAAGATGTCCATTAAGGTACAAAAGGGGCAGGCAGCAATCAGACAAGACTAGAAAATAACTATTGTGTAATATTCTCAAAACAATAAGTATACAGACAAAGAAAGCTCTCTTGTAAGCTACAAGAGAGAAACACCATGTCACATATATAGGCAGGCCCATCCGAATCACAGCTGACTTCTCAACAGAAACTGTAAAATCCAGGAGGGCCTGGAAATGACTTAACTATAAAAGACTACAACCACCCATCACGACCACTGTACTGAGAAGAATTATCTGTCATAACAAAAGGAGAAGAGAAACTTTCTTCAATAAACACAGGTCAAGCTGGGCAGTGGTGGCGCATGCCTTTAATGCCAGCACTTGGGAGGCAGAGGCAGAGGCAGGCGGATTTCTGAGTTTGAGGCCAACCTGGTCTACAGAGTGAGTTCCAGGACAGCCAGGGCTACACAAAGAAACCCTGTCTTGAAAAACCAAAAAAAAAAAAAAAAAAAACAAAAAGCCACCACCAACAACAACAACAAAAAAACCCACAGGTCAAAAGAATTCATAACTACTAAGGCAGTTCAAGCAAGTTAAATAAACTAGTCCTTCAGACATAAATACAACAAATACAGTTGCATCTACTTTCATAAAACAAATACAATCAGATGCAAAGATGCAGATTAACCCAAACACAATTATAGTGGGTGACTTCAGGATTCTACTCTCAACAATAGACAGCTCAGCTACACCAGAAGCTCTCAACCAGTGGGTTCTGACCCCTTTGGGGGTTGTATATTAAATATCCTGCATATCAGATATTTACATTACAACTCATAACAGTATTAAAATTATGGTTACAGAGTAGCAACAAAATATTTTTGGGTTGGGGGTCACCACAATATAAGGAATTGTATTAAACTGGTTGCAGCACTAGGAAGGTTGAGAACCATTGAGCTAGACAAAAACAGAAATATCTGAATTAAATAACTAAGTGTCAAATGGAAAGATATATAGAACACATTCCAAACACAGAAGAAACACATTCATCTCAGCAGCTCTAAAGTAGATAATATATTATGACAAAGAGCAAGTCTTAATATGAGATAGATGAAGATGCCCCAAACTATACATTGGAGAAAAATACAGCCTCTTCAAAAAGTGGTGCTGGGAAAATTGAATGTCCACATGCAGAAGAATAAAATTAAATTCCAAATTGTCATCCTGTATAAAAGTCATTTCTTGGGTCTGTAAAGATGACTCGCTAATTAAGAGCACTTGAAGTTTCTGGCAGAGAACACAGCTTAAGTTTCCAGCACTGACATGGCGGCTCACAACTATCCATGGGCTCACACATGGGATACATGTGCACACACAGGTTTGACTGCTTATACATAATGGATGTAACATAAATGAGAAAAGGAAATTTTAATAGGTCAAAGACCTTAATGTAAGTTCTGAAACTCTGAAATTGTTGAATAAAAAAAATAAGAGGAAATACTTCAAGATATAGGTGCAGACGCAGACTTTACAAAGAAGAGTCTAGTCTATAGTGGCCATAAATAAGTAGGATTTCACAAAAATGAAAATGTTCTCCACAGCCATGGAAACAGTTAACTCAATGGAGACACAGCCGACAGACTGGGAGAAAATTCAGTTATACATCTTGTCTTAGTCACTGTTCTATTTTTGTGAAGAGATATCACAACCAAAGTAACTCTTATAAAAAAGAAAGCATTTAATTGGGAAATCACTTACAGTTTCAAAGGTTTAGTCCATTATCATTATGGAGGGGAGCATGGTGGTATACATTCATGGTATTGGAGTAGTTAGCTGAGAGCTACATGTGACACACTTGCTCTAACAAGGCCACATCTCCTCATCTTTCTAAACAGTTCCACTCACTGGTGACTAAGCATTTAACTACATGAGCCTATGGGAGCCAATCTTATTCAAACCAGCACACACCTGTATTAGTCACTTTCCTGTTATCATGATAAAGTACCATAACCAGGTAACTTACAGAAGGAAGGGTCTATTTGGATGTCCGTCGTGGCAGTGAGACATGGCAGCATGTGGTAGGCATGAAGGCAGGAACAGCTAAGAGCTCACATCTTGAACTTTAGGCAGAAAGCGTAGCACAAAAACTGGGAATGGAGAGACACATCAAAACCTAAGTCCTTCCATCCCCACAGACATAGTTCCTCTAGAGGTCACACCTCCTAAACTGTTTCCAGCAGAGCTGAGCCAGTTAGCTGGGGACTAAGTATTTAAATGCCTGAGACTATGGGGGAAAATTTTCATTCAAACCATCATGATACCTACTGTGTGGCTTTTCCTAGTGAACAAATATCTACTTACCCCAGATAGGGCACTGACGACACCAAGAGGAATGATTCTCCCCATGTCCAGCCTAGTAAATCAGCATCAGTGTTACTTGCAGCAGCAGGGTTGACTCAAAATCAGTTGCATCATAAAAAGTCTAGCACAGGTGAACAAGGAAGCTGAAACCCTGGAGTTCCTTGAAAAATTTGCAGGTGGCTCTGCTGGTCAAAGAATCCTTTCCTTACAGCTATTACATCTCATACAGCCTTGAGGCGTGAGCAGGGAACCTTGAATATTACAACTTTCAGGAGCTTCCAGAGCTTAGAAATTTTATTTACTTCCTAAGCAGGCTTCAGGAGGGAAAACTTCAATTCAGAGAAATAGCACACCACACCACCGAATATCTAGAATATTGAGAGAACTCAAATAATTAAACTCAAAATCAATTGTCTCTACTAATAAATGTACTAATGAACAGGAAGTTTCCCAAAGACTATGTACAAATAGCCAATGATCATATAAAAAATGTTCAACCTCAATTAGACATTAGAAAGCGGTAATTTAGAATAAAGCTGAAACTGTGCCTCACCCAAGTCAGAATAGCAGTAATTAAGAAAACTAACAGGCGAGCAGCTTTACTCCTAGCAATGGTGAGGCAGAGGGAGTATCTCTGTGAGTACAAGACTATCCTGGGCTCCATATTGAGTTCTAAGCCAGACAGAACTATACAGTTAGAGCTTGTTTTAAACAAGCCAACAAGTGTTGATGAGGATGCTGAAAAGGGGGACTCTATACATTGCAGGTGGGCATGTAAACATGCTGGTGGCCATGTAAGCATGCTGGTGGCCATGTAAGCATGCTGGTGGCCATGTAAACATGCTGGTGGGCACGTAAACATGCTGGTGGCCATGTAAGCATGCTGGTGGGCATGTAAACTGATGTAACCATTATGTAAATCAGTATGGAGTTTTTCAAAAAACTAACATTAGATCTACAATATGATATATCACTCTTGGCTACCCATAGGATTCCAAGTCAACACATCACAGAGAGTTTTGTACATTGATGTTTACTACACTAGGCACAATAACTGAGCTAAAGAACCAACCTCACTGCTCAACAGCAGAGGAATTGGTAAGGAAAACATGTCTTCTCAGTGGCTAGTGACTGTTTCAGCTATAAATGAGGATAAGGTTATGTGTGCTGCAGAGATTGTTCAATGGTTAAAGCTGCTACTGTTCTTGCAGAGGACCCAGGTTTGGCTCCCAACATCCACGAGGTAATTCACAACTCTCTAGCTCATTTCTGCAGACCTGATACCTTCTTCTGGCTTATGTGGGTCCCTGCATGCACATGGTGCATAGACTTACTGAAGCACACACACATAGCACATACATGAACATAAAATATTTTAAAAATAAACTTTTTTTCATTTTCAGGGAAATAAATGCAAATGGAGATAATTATATTAAATAACTCAAGCAGAAAGGCAAATGTCATATTTTCTCTGATTTGTAGTTCCTATGTAGATACATAAAATCAGACAAATATGACATCAAAAATAGAATTAAATCTATTCAGGAGGACAAAGAGGGATTAACAGGAAGGGGAAAAGGAAGAAAGGAGATAGAGAATATACGTTCAACACAAACTTTATGTCTGTATGAAAGGCTCTTATGTAACATATGCTATGTACTGTAAATATAAACTATGAAAAATTTAAATAAAACATTTAAAATATTTAAATAATGTCTGGGTTCCCAAAAAATCCACAAAGCCCTCTCCTTCAGCCACAAGCAGCTACTGATTTGCTCTGAAAGACATAAGATAATGCTATTGAAGTGCAAAATAATACAACAAATTCAAAATATTTTTATTTTTATTATTTTATTTTGAAATAAGCTCAAATCTAAATAAAAGTTTCAAGAATGGTACAAAGAATTTTATCAAGTGGGAACCCACACACCAGTTTTGATAATTGCTCCATTTATGTCATGACATGTATGGCAAAATGTTTCAATCTATGATCATGTCTTACATGCAGTTGTTGTGGATTTGGGCTTCCTAGATCTGGAATATCTGCCGTTCCTCATCTTTCATTACACCAAACGAAGTTCCTAGGGAGAAGCCATGTATAGACATCATCCAGTTTAGTTCTATTTAACATTTCCACAGAACGAGACCCAGCGTACATCTTGGCAGGAATGCTGTGTTCTTTTCAAAGGCACTACAAGATGCTGATTTGCCCCATCACTGGTAACAGGACTTTGGTCCCTCAATAACAAATATAGTATCTGCCATGTTTTTTTAGTGTAAATGCTTTTTAATGTTTAACAGTTTTAAAGATTCTTGGAGATGATGTAAATCATTCTCTACTGAGATTCCACTTCACCTCATTAGTCTGAGCATTAACTGGCATATATCGCCCAAGATATTATAACAATGTTTATCCAACAGCAACTTTTAAATTCCATTTATACTCATTGGCTGACATTTTATTGTGTGGATAACTTTCTCTCCTCCATATTTACTTATATCAGTGTGAATTCATGGGTTCCTATTTTATTCAATTATTACTATGTTTTATAGTTAAATTATCCTTTCTTGGCCTATGTCAGCTCTTTCAAGCTGTTTCTGAGTGCTTCTGACAAGTAGCCATCTTTCATCAAAACTTCATTTTCTGATACAGAGTATATTCCAGAATTGAATCAGTCATTATTCTCATGATGCTCCAGCACATTAATAGGAAAGAATATTTGGAAATCATAATCCAGCACTGGTTGTATTGATTGCTGTGTATCTTTCTAGTCTATTCAGTGTTCAGAAAATATTTATATACAACATATACACACCTTTCAGCATGCATACACACATATATAGTGTATATTTATATGTGTATATATGTATATAGCTATTTGTGTAGATACATTATATAAATGTATACAATACATATATATATATATAGTACATATATATGCATATATATATGCACAAAGTTCACACTGATAACCAATTGTACTCGACATTACCAGAGTTTTTTTCACCTTTCATTCTTTAAGAAGTTTTATTATTTTTAATTGAGAAATAATAATTATATTGACAGGGAATATCTGATAGTTCTATACGTACTTAGCAGAATCACCCCCCTCAACTATCACCTCTTTGTGCTGGAACACTTAAAAATCCTCTTCTTTATCCATTTTGAGCATAAAAGTTACAACTCCAGTTATCATGCTGTATGTTGAAGAACCAAAATTTAAAGCATTCTAGGTTTTTCTTTTAATTGTATATCCTTCTACATCTCTGTGAGGAACTTAGCCCCCATGGTGTCAGTTTATTTAAATGTTCAGTTCTTTGAATGTGGCCACTCTCCAGAACCAAAGGGGTTGCCTCTGCCCTGCTCCGAAGACGACTTCAAATTCTAAGGTCAGTGACCAGGAAGTCTCAGCTGTCCTCTTTCCCAGCTCGGCTCTGTGGGTGCACCACTCACCTCACCCTTGTGGTGCCCTCCTGTGTGTGAGGTTGCCATTGCTAACCTGCCCCAGTGCTGGGCTTGCCCTTTAAGTAGAGCAGATGGCAAGAAAGACTTGAGGAAGAAAGTCCTCTTGGGTGGGAGTGAGGAAGTGAGTGAGGCAGGAGCAGAGTGACAGAAGGAAGAGAGAGGAAAGGGGAGGAAGCAGAAGAAAACGGTGAACGCAGGTTTGTGGACTTAAGTTGTTGTAACAGAAAGATAAACTGATTCTCCTGATACAAATCTGAAAAAGAGATTAGCATTTATATTTTACAAGGCCCTATATATTTTTCTTTTCCTCAGAAGTATTTTTTAGCCTAAGGCTAGTTGTCATTTCTTTCAATTTTATATAGATCCAACTATAGAAGAAAGATTGTGGTGGAGGCAGAATTTTCCTAAGATAGTTAGAACTTGGAAGATTAAGGTCAGCTCTCTAAGGCCACCTTATAAGAAATACCAGAAGGAGAATCAAGCAGCTGGTGAGAGCAGAGCAAGTCAGACGGTCTCATGACTACTGGATGGACGTGTCAACTCACAGTGGATTCAGTTTTTGGCTTGAGCTGTAAAAACAGGAAGGCAGTCAAGGCCTCCCCTAGTTTTAGGTCCTTGAGCCCCAGCAGGGTCTTGTGCACACTGTTAACAAGTTTGCCTTTGCTTTTATTCCACCACAGGTAGCATTCAATCAATAGCCTTGTAGGTTGCCTTTAAATTTTCTAAACTGTTACATATGTCCCCAATTTGATAGAAAATCTGAATAGGTATTTCTAATCCAAATCAATCAATAAATTCAAACTGAATCTATACATTTTGGGAACTTAGATTTTGTTTTCTGCTTTTTGCTCAAATCAATATGCCCCCCATCCCCTCAACATTTTAAAAAACATCCATTCTTGGTAAAACTATAGTTAACAGTTTGCAAATGAATGTTTTTACCTCTATATATTTAATCTTGGCAAAAATCAATAGTATATGACATCATGACATAAGAGAGCATCTATGTACAAACATATACAATTTTATTGATATCTCTACAGACTACAAGAATTTTAGGTATAGTCACAATTGCTGAATGCAACAGAAAAATAGTAATTTGTCATTTTTTGAAAAGATGCAAAAATTCTGAAGATGAAAGAAAGATACATCAATGGTGTCATCTGTCTGTTATTTCCTAGAATAAAACATCACATAATTAAGTACTAAAAATGATAGGTTATTAGAGATTTTGATCCTGTGTACAACTATCCAAAGCCACCACCTATTTTATCCTCTGGCTTTGCCATTGAGAAGAGTGGGCCAAGGCAAGAGGGGAGTGCGTGGGGAGAGGACTCAGAGTGCTTCTGTGTTAATGCCTTCCTTTGGCTGGACTCTTTCTTGCTGGGGTGTGAGCAGTTTTTCAGGGCACTGGTTCTCAGATTATGATTTTCCATTTATGCACATACCCCATAAGTAAGAGAACAAATTCAAAAGGCCTTCAGAGCTTTAGGGACAGCAATCAAACAAGGAAGAGTTCTTCTCCCTGTTTGGTAACATCAGGTCCAGCAGGACACCCATAGCAGAGCAGGAGTCTCTCACCATGTTTGCTCCTGAAGAAGGGTTCATAATAAGCTTGGAGATAATTTAGTAAGTGATTGTTTTGGGAATTTCCACTGTCCAGATATTGAGAATTAATTTTACCACTTAGCTTTTTATACTGCTGATTTTATGGTGATATTTCTGGTGTCTTATGTAAAAGACAGTTGAAATTTACAACCTTGACTTAAATAACTAATGATCAAGTCACACAGACTAATATTACAGAGTTACAAAGACGTAGTGGAGCTGCCTGGTTAGAAATGTGGGCTCACTTTTGTTCTGTGAGAGGAAAGAATAAATGACAATCAAGACGAGACTGTGTCTTTTACATTCTGCCTTCCCCAGTCCCTAGGAAGGGGCTAAGAATCAGCCAAGGAAGGCAAGAATCTTTCTAAGTTGGTCATAAAGCAGTGGTTACCAACGGTGGCTGGACACTGGACCCATGTTTAGGGCTTTCAAGAATACTGATGTTCTGTTTCCAGTCTAAGACATTTTGAAATCATCAGGAATTTAAAAATCTCAAATGACTGTTTATGTGCAGCCAAAGATGACTGTCATTTCTCCAGGAAAACATATAAAGACATTCACTTTTGGTTGTATCAAAACCTCCTCACTTCCCTCAGACCCTCATATCCCTCACCATACCCACAGGTTTCCACCACACTATACCCTTTCTCTTGTTTCTAGATGAGACCTTACTGATGCCTTTCTTTCAGGAAGACAGATATACTGTTCAGGCTGATAGACAGAAACATTAGACTTTTTAGCACATGCTTCCTGGAATCTTGCATATGAGAGACAATGTTCAGCCTGTTGGTGATGATCATCTCAGATACCTGGGCTGTATGGATACACAGTACTACCACGAACATGGGGCTGAGTAACTGTAGGTGAAGCTGTGAAGCTGCTGTTTCTCCCAACTCACTGAGAGCTAGACTTGATCTGCCATGCTGGCTTTCTCTGTCGTTGCTTTATGTGGGCCAGTGTGGTCAGGGAAGTGTGTGTACTCTCCCCCAAGGATGTCTGTGATACAAAGAACATCCTAATTCTAAGCCAGGGGAAATTAGTTCTCCTTTTGGACTAGCTTTCTTTTATTCTATCCAAATGCCTGACAGCTTAGTATCTCAAAGAACCTATCTTAATTTTTCAACCGATATTGGGCCTAATCTTTTTATTTTCTCAGTCTGGCAGAGATAATGGGCAAACAATACCTTTAACATGGTATTAGTGGGCTATAAAAAAGGAAACTTAACCTTTTAAGGTATCTTTATATTTTTGAGGGATAAAGACCTAGATTTTATTGAGAATCAATTCCAAAGGATTTGAGAATTGATTCTGTGATAGAATTGCTGGAAAACTTTTCAGTTTTGTTACTATACACTTGAAGCTGATGTCACACAATGACCCTGAGTGCTAAGTCTGAGACTCAGAGAAGTGTAGAAGCTAAGTCAGAGAAGCACATCCTCAGAGGATTGAAATACCTGATGAGTCAGTTGCCCTCCACCCTAACCCAAGACAAATGGGTGGTTTCACAGTGGGATCATTGCTTACATTACTGTGAGAAGCAGGGAAACAAACACGTCTTTTATTATTGATGAATAGAATGAAAGGCTCATTTCTGCCAGCTTCTCTGTTGAGGAAGGAATAGGGGGTAAAGTCACCTTGTCCTGATGATGCTTCGAAAGCCTTATCTCCAGATGTCACTTCATAGATATAACGTAATTTGATGGTAACTGAGACTCGGGGTCATCTTCTGCAGTGCTATTACAGTTTCTGGGGTGGTTTTTCTTATGGTCCAAACAGAAGAGAGATGAGAAAATGCAAAAGATTATGTATATCAACATTACTCATTTCCCTAAGTTGGCAATGATGACAAAGATGGTGGTGGTGGTGGTGAGGTGACTCTGTGTGTGTGTGTATGTGTGTGTATGTGTGTGTATGTGTATTAAGGTTAACACAAAAGCTCAAAGAGAAAAATCACATCCATGGTTAAATTATTGTTATTGCTACCTCTTTGAATTATAAAAATAATTTTGATACAGTAAAACCTCATTAATTTGGATTCTGCTATTCATTGGTCTGTGGGATAAGTTACCCTTATATGAAGAAAGGATTTGTCAAACAATTTTGTAAGAGCATTTAAACTTTAAACATTTATGAAAACTTGTTCTTTTCAAGCATGTCAGAAGCACCTACTCCAAGCGATGTCTCTTTATAAACTTTTGATGTATTTGCTGGAGCCAGAATTTTAAGCACATCTATTGTGAAATATGGATGTTCTTTTTGATATATTCTCTGTGTGCTTCGAAAATGTCTATATATTATCAGTTCACTAGTTCTTTAAAAATTTACCTCTATTGCATATGAATCATACATGTAATTTAGGGCAGGTCTTCTCTTGCTAAGACAATGTGCTCTTATTGTATGTTGTTTTCTGTAAAAACATATCATATATTTCACAGTCCGTCTCTTTAAATGATGTAAAATAGTTGCTCTCAACTGGAAGCAATTTTGTCAAAAAGAATTTTTTTAACTGCCATTACTAGCAGATTCTGACTGGCATCTCGAGGGCAGAAGCCAAGGACACTGTTAACATCCCAAAGAATTTTGTGCTAGTGGTGCTGCTTTTAAAAACCATTGCTATAGAACAAGTGAAATGTGTGTGTGTGTGTGTGCGTGCACATGCACCTAGGGTATTGAAGACAAAACCTATGATCTTGAACATAGTGGGCAAGCACTCTGCCCTGCACTACTTCTCTAAAGCAAGTTAAATATTACAGAGAAATTCAGAGATAGTCATTGGATTCAATGGTACTTTGGATTGAAATTCACTATTTCTAAAAAAGAAATATCTTATTCTTCTGGTCATTTTAAAATGTAGAAGTACTAAAGTATCACTGGGTGTTGTGGGGCATGCCTGTAATCCCAGCACTTGGGAACCAGGGCAGGTGAGTTCAAGGCCAGCCTGGTCTGCAAAGTGAGTTTCAGGATAGCCAGGGCTGTAACATAAAGAAACCCTGTCTCAGAAAAGCGAAAACCAAACCAAATCAAACAAAAAATAACCTTTAAATCAAGCAAGCAACCCCCCCCGAAACAACAACAATCCCAGAAATGTTAAAGTATGATAAAAATCAGAAACTTGGGTCTTTAAAACAGATCACATAAATTGTGTGTTGCAATTTGGCTGCCAATGTTTTTCATTTCCTAGCTTTAAATTTCATTAATGTTATTGTATAAATGTGTGTATTGTCTGTACTGCCAAGCCAAGTCCCCTTATATTCATGTTATAACAGGAGGCAGATTTACAGACAGTTTTAAGAAATCAGAATTCAAGGACTCTGATAAATGCTACTCTAGCATGTATTTTCTGTTTTTTTAAATCATCTCTGCTTTTTCTTCAAAATCAATGAGAAAAATTAAAAGGAAGCACCACTCCAAATGAAAATAAAAGACCAATGAACATAATAATTTTGTCTATTAAGTTAGACTCAAGGAAATGTCAATGTCTTAAACACAAATGTAAGTCCAGTAAGACCTCAAAACCCAATGAACGTGTCACATAATTTAAGATTTTAGAAACAGGAAGAACATCCTGTTATGGGAGTCCTGTGACTGACTCCCAAGCATGCTCAACAGAGCAAGTAGGAGTCTTCCCTTGTTTTTCTTTGCAGTGCTTCCCCGCTGGGTCATGATAGATCATTTTATCATGTTCCAGATGATCTTTACTCTTGAGAGGTTTTAGAAGGTATTTGATATTTACTGACACATGCCTTTGAATTATATTAGTCAATCTAGTGACAAAGCTATTGATTTTATATCATTAAATTATCTCTGGATTTGTGTTACCCATAATGATGTCTGTGGCCAAGATAGCTAAAACAGCTCTACATTTCATAAGGGTTTCCAGTAATAAGTGCTGAACCCCAAAATGTGTTCTAATGAAAGCCCTTATGCATCAGAAACATGATGAGTCAGAAACTCTTTCCTAAAACATTAGCTGAGGTTTTACTGAATCACATCAAAGAGAATGACCAGTTTGGTCTGTGAATATCAGGCTGCAAAAGCACCTTGGGATTGTAGACCCTATTGGGTTTGAACAGTAATATACTGTGTAATTGGCAGATAAGGATACAAATGATGCTTTAAAAATATATCGCTTTGGAAACTAAAATTGGGGTGTGTGAAATTCCACTCCTTGTGAAATCAGTTCTCAAAGCTAACTGCACTGTTCCTATAGTCTAGTTTCTGCAAATTATCGCCACCTCCTCTGTAAAATGTAAACCAGGCTGGAAAAAAAAATGCTTTGAGGTGATTCAACCCTACACGGTTTATGACTAAAACTAGGAATTCATCTTGAAGGTGGCAGACATGGAAAGAGAAGTGTTGGGGATATTTCACTATCCTGGCAATCTTTGATTATGAATGAGAGCTGCAAATGAAGTGAATTACTACAGAGAGAGAAAAATGTTAATCAGAGTCTTGATGTAAGAACTCAGTAACGTCCTAGTATAGTAAGGGAGGTTTCAGATGAGAAGAAAACTCTGGGTGTGTTTTGATTCCTTTCAGCTGAGTAGGGCAAATACACTTGAAATGCACTGATATCTTCTGATGCAGATTTTAAAATTGTTGGGTGTGGCCCGATTCATGACGGTAGTTAACCATAAATCCTTTTCTTCTGCTATAACATGCTTTTGTTTCTTTTCCTCTTAAGATGTTAATTTATCATGCAAAGAATTTTTTAATTAAGTGCATTAATGCTTTTGTTTGTACAGGAAATTTCAAATCAAAAGGACTCCCCATAGTTTCCAAACACAAATTCTTAGCAAATGACATGCCAAGATAATATCCATTCCACATGGGAAAAAGACAAATTCGGCCATTATCCTGGGATTTTAACCGGGGTTCCAGCCTTTATGTTATGCAGCATCGTTGCCTTTGATAAGTCTCCTTTATGATAACTTCAGATGGACTATAATGGAACATTTTGTGGAAGAAACTGGTTTCTAGCAGTTGAATCGTGATGCTGGGAATAAATTTGGTTTCCCTGAATAATGGTTTCTCAAAGCAGTCACAGCTTCTTTCGAAGGTTAGAACTGGTACCATTTCTTATCCTTATATTTCAGCATTAGCTGGAAAGAAAAAAAAATAGCAATCAAAACATGCTGCAAAACCTTAAAAGTGTTACTCAGCAAGTCACTATTAAACTAATCATAATTAAATCTTAAAACGTAATAAAATTATATGGCTGCCTGTGTTTGCATGGGTTAGTTTACCTCATGTGCATGCTTAGAGAAAGCTTCTGCACTGGTCATCATGCCAGCAGTCTTCTCTTCCAGCTCGCCCAGACGCTGCCCTCTCTCGTCAAGTGCAATTCGGGCTCGGGTCAGCTCTCCCATCACTCCACCAGCAGCGCCTTTCATCCCTTCTATACTACCGGGTCCAGGAATGTGCTGTGCTAGGCTGCGGGATGCTTTTCCTGCCGAGGCTTCCCCAACTGAAAATGTAAGCCGTAGACATTTAAAACGTTTCAGAAATTCATAGTCAAGATGGGCATCAGGGCAAAAAGATACTCTTAAACTTCAACTACTATCATAATTTTCATTCAAAGGATGGCATTTCTGGTGTTGTCAGATATATGTGTATGTGTTAAAGTTATGAGTACATAAGAATGCCTAAGGGAGAGACGGTTATTGTATGTCTTTGTGTGTACGTGGTTTGTATATGGGGCTGCACTTTCTCACAATATGGAAAAATCGTTTTCTTGCTTTCTTTTGTGGATATGCATGTATATATTCGTGTGTTTCGGTTTGTGTACATGTATGATTCTTCATGTGAAGGTCAGAGGTTAACCTCAGGTGCTATCCATCTTCATTGTTTTCCTACAAAATTGATTGAATGATTACAGTGTGTGTGTGTGTGTGTGTGTGTGTGTGAAGGAAGTCAGCTTAGTTCAGGCTACTGCATAAATTTGGAGACCAGAGGACAACTTATGGGAATTCAGTCTTTCCATCAACCAAGTGCATCCCAGGATTTGAACTCAGACTGTAGGTTTGGTGGTAAATGCCTCCACTGGCTGAGCCATCTTGGGAGCTGCATCTTGGTTTTTGAGACAGAGTGTCTCACTTGGCCTGGCACTCACTAGTCGTCTGGGCTGACTAGCCAGTGAGCCCTGGGGATCTGCCTGTCTCTACTTTCTCAGCGTTGAGATTACAAGCACATGCCACCTCGCCTAGTTTTCTTATGCATTCTGGCAATCGAACTCAATTCCTAATACATGCAAGGCAAGCACTTTACCGACACACCCATCTCTCTAGTCCTACAATTGCACTTATTAACATGAAGGAATTGGAATTCTCAAATACATAAAATCTTATGTTTAGCACATACCAATGTTTGTTACAATCTGCCCAATATTCCCTGTTAATCTTTATACAGAAATATTTGCAAGGTCCTCAATTTTCTGTAAGTGCTAGAGAATTAGGCATAGGAGTATATAAGTAAAGGTTTTAAATTTGTGTTTTTTATAATATACTAAACGTTTTCTTGTTAGGAACAAAGCTCTGCTTTATTTAGCTTAAATAAAACAAAGTTCAAAATCGCTGTCTCGATTGGTTTGCCAGATTGGTAGCACAGACCTGTAACTCCAACTCTTGTGGGGTGAAGAAAGGGGGTCAAGAGTTGAAGGTTGGAGTGGTTTACATAGCAAGATCCTTTCACAAAACAGAACGCATTATAATACACACCCATCTCGGCAGAAATTTAGTGAATATTTTCAGGAATGTCACATTAGAAAGGAACCTGGGCTTTTAAAAATAAAAGCCTCACTAATATCTAATTCACATACTAAAAAACAACCCTTAATAAAGCTCTTATAATTACACCACTGGGTTTTAGTGTCTCATACAGTTGAGGAACCATAACTACTATCTGATTTTAGACTATTTTCATTTTTTCAAAAGAAACTCAAATTCATTAGCAATTGCTCCATAATATCTCATTATCCCAGCCTTGGGAAACAACTGATTAACTTTTAGTGCCTATACTGGACTATTTATATGGATAGAATCATATAATAGGTGGCTCTTTTCTGATCTGGCCCCTCTGATTTATCATGGTATTTATGAAGGTCTACATTGTCACATGTAAAATAATATTCCCTTTATTGTCTAAAATAATATTCAACTATAGGGCAGTACCTGTGTCTTCTTACAGAGAAATTCAAGAGAAAGGGAGTTTTGATATGCAAAACCAAATGGTGGTGGCATGGTCTGTAAGCTTTATTCTGATCTGTCCTCTGAAAGTGTTTTCTAGTATCTCCTGTTGCTTTTTGATTGCTGTTTATGAGAGTCGCACTGGTAGATTTTCAAACCAGTTATTTTTCCACAGCACTGATACAATTGTATTATGAATAAAGAATCCATTTTCTAGCAGTGGTTGTAGGAAAGCAGACTAAAATGCTTTCTCAAAATTTAAAAAGCCAAATACTACTAACTGTGCATTAAGATAGAGTTGATCTGCAATTCTTACTAGCTTGTTCTTTACTTATATGAAATATATATATATATAAATGTATATATATGTTTAGCTATTTTTTAATATAGTGACTAATTTTATTCATGTTTAATAGACATAATAATTTAAAAAATACAGGGAAACTAATTCAAATTTTAAAATAGTCACAATAGTACTTTGGCTTAGAATTTAAGATATAGTGTATTAAACCACATATACACACAAACAGGTCTATTTTGTGATGAGCTTTTTAGATGAGGATTTACTCACAGAGTTCTTCTCTGTCAAATGTCTGTCCACTTCCACCAAATAGTCCCTTGAGAAAGCCTCTATTTTGGGCTTCTGGTGTCTCTATGGGAGTAAACAAATCGCCTAACATGTCCTGCACCAATTAAGAAAAAGAGGATTAGAGCAACTAAGATTAAATTAATAGATGATAAGGTAATACTGTGAGATATTACACTACATTATGGAGACAGCCTTTCCATAGCTTTTCCGTGTGCATTTTGCTTGATTTACACTTCTTAGCTCTCCAGGTTCTTAATAAAGGAGAAAAGGAAAATAATAATAACAATAATAATAATAAAGCAAGGACAAAAAATACAAAACTTTAGGCAAGCCAGTCATAGCTGCATAGAACAGACACTGGGAAATCATCTGATGCCATGTCCTTTGTCACTAGCAATTACTGTGGAGCAAGGAGGGAACAGATTCTTTAATCAACCATTCTGTTGAAAAGAGTAGAAAATTCAGCACAACCATATCTCCAAATACCAATCCCACCAACTAAGAAAGATCCAGAGAACCACAGAATCATATGGGCATCACACAGTCACATGACCTGAATGAAATGTATTGGAAATACTCAAGCTAAGACTGTAAACCCTGGCAGAAAGGCAACCCTTCCTAATGAGACCAGAATTTACAGCTGTGACTGTAAATCTAAACATGGGTATGCCCACATCAGACACTGAAACCCACACAGGACGTATATGAGTCCCCAACACAGTAAAAAGACTAGCTGGCCAGCTGGAAATTATTCTGATGGATATCCCACACTGAAGTCTAGAGGTGCCATTTATTTTTATTCTGTTTGAAATCATCCAGGACCTTACTTTGTCCTTGGTTTAATTGGGAATTCTTACAAATTCTTTTAAACTCTTTGTCTGGAATTTCATTGAATTCATCTCACTAGGTCACATTACTGTGGAATCCCCCTTAAGGAGACCTGACCCCAGCTGTTGACAACCAGGACAGACATTCAACCCAGAAGGCAACCTGCTTAAACTCCACTGAGGCACTGCATGTTGACAAAATCTGCTTTAACAGATTTGAGCTAGAAACACAAGCATCTGTTTCCCGTTAACAGTAAGATCCTTGGTAGCTCCAGGAGAGGAGAAAAACAATATCTATCCCAGTAAAGAAGAATGACTGATACTGTATTATCTTTAAATTTTACTTTGTCTCATTGTTAAAGATCTTTGCTATTGCATATTTCTTAATGGTTTTGTTTAATTTGGATATTCCTTACATTTTATGATTATTCTACTTTTTGCCTGTTCCATTTAGTTATATGTACTATTTTTCTTATTTAAAGCTTATACACATCCCTTCAACCCCCTTTTCCTTTTCTTTCTCCATTTCCTCCTCTTGATTTATCAATTATAATTTTCTATAGATTTAATAATCTTTAAATTCCATTTACTCTGTAAGCTATAGACATAATGCTAAATAGGAAAAACCCTTAAAAAGTATTTTCACTAACCCAGGAAAGAGGCTCTTTTACTCTTTTTCAATACATTAAATATTAGCAAAAACAAGAGAGTAGACCAGTGTGCTTACAGAGAGGAGCCTAGCATGGCTGCCCTCTGAGAGGCCCAACAGCAGCTGAAAGAGTCAGATGCAGATACTTACACCCAACCAACGGTCAGAAGCTGGGGACCATAGTGGGTTAATTAGGGAAAAGCTGGAAAGAACTGAGAAGGAGGGTGACCTCATAGGAAGACCAGCAGTCTCAACTAACCCAGACCCCTGAGATCTCTTAGACACTGAGCTACCAATGAGGCAGCATACACTAGCTGATACAAGGCCCCTGACACATATACAGCAGAGGGTTGCCTTCTCTGGCCTCAGTGAGAGAAGATGCACCTAACCGTTGAGAGACTTGAGGCCTCAGGGAGTTGGAAGGTCTGCTGAGGTGGGGGTGGGCAGTAGGAACATCCTCTTGGAGATGGGGGAGGAGGAATGGTGTAGGAGGAGCTAATATGGGAGGAGTTAGGAGAGGAAGAGGAGGAGTAAGGAGGAGTGGAGGAAAAGGAAGAGGAGAAGCTAGGAGGAGGAGAGAGAGAGTAGATGGAGGCGTATGTTCACGTGTCTGTAGCAGTCAAAGGTAGTTGGTATATCTAGGTTGGGTATTGGGTTACACTTCTGATTGTATGGGTATCTTGTTACTGATCATTATCAAATATATAAGCCTTTGATTAATCTTTAAGCATTAGAGACTCATCTTTCTACTGGGCCCACGTGGATGGTGGGATGGTCTGGGCAATGTCCAGCCTTGCGGAGACAGCATGGAAGATTGGCAGAGCCATCTCCCATGGTGGTGTCTCATGGGTGGAAGGGTTGGTGTTTCTTTCTGGCCATTTCTAGCTGCGGTGCACACATGGTCTCTGGCCGAGAAACATGGCAGCTGAGCTAGGCAGAGCTGCTGTAGCATAGATAGTCGGCTTAACCAGAGGCCACTTTAAATAATTACTACAACAGAATGGGATGAGGAAAAGTTGGAAGACAGACTGGGAGACAGATAATGACTGAACCGTAAAAAAGATTAAAGAATAATTTTAAACAACCCATTCAAAAAATGGTGTATAGAACTAAACAGAGAATTCATAACTGAGGAATCTTGAACGGCTGAGAAACACTTAAAGAAATATTCAAAGTCCTTAGTCATCAGGGAAATGCAAATCAAAATGACCCTGAGATTCCACCTCACACCAGTCAGAATGGCTAAGCTCAAAACCTCAGGTGACAGCACGTGTTGGTGAGGATGTGAAGAAAGAACACTCCTCCATTGCTGGTGGAATTGCAAACTGGTAAAACCACTCTGGAAATCAATCTGGAGGTTTCTCAGAAAATTGGAACTAGATCTACCTAAAGACTCAGGTACACCCCTCTTGGGCATATACCCCCAAAATGCCCCACAATGCCACAGGGGCACATGTTCCACTATGTTCATAGCAGCCTTATTTCTGATAGCCAGAAGCTGGAAACAACCCAGATGTCCTTCAACAATAGGAATGGATACAGAAAATGTGGTTCATCTACACAATGGAATTCTACTCAGCTATTAAGAACGAGGACATCTGAGTTTTGCAGACAAATGGATGAAACTAGAAAATATCATCCTGAGTGAGGTAACTCAAAGACAAAAGGATATGCATAGGATACTCACTAATAAGTGGATATTAGCCAAAAAAGTAGAGAATTCCCAGCATACAATCCACAGAACTCAAGAAGGCTAGCAAGCTGAAGGCCCAAGTGAGGATGCCTCAATCCCACTTGGGAGGGAGAAGAAAGCAATCACAGAAGAGGGGGGAGGGACCTGAGTGAGAAAGGGAACAGGGAGGGGAAGAGGAAAACAAGATCAGATGGGGGTGGGGGGAGACTGAAGCCCTGAGGGCCAACAGAAATAGTCAAAATAGGCAACCTCATGAGTTAGGAGGTGGGGGGACTCTCTAGAATGTACCAGAGACCTGGAAGTTGAGAGACTCTCAGGACTCAAAGGGAGGGACCTTAGATGAAATGCCCTACAGTGGGGAGAGGGAACTTGTAGAGTCCACCTCCAGTAAAATGACAGGGCATCAAATGGAGGGATGGGGTTGGCATCCCACAGTCAAAAACTCTGACCCAGAATTGTTCCTGTCTGAAAAAACTGCAGGAACAAAAATGGAGAAGAGCCTGAGGGAAAGGAGGTCCAGTGACAGACCCAAATTGAGATCCAGCTCAGGGAAGGCTCCAATGCCTGACACTATTACTGAGGCTATGGTGTACTTATCATGACTGCCCTCCGAAAGGCCCAACAAGCAGCTGAAAGAGTCAGATGCAGATACTTACACCCAACCAATGGACAGAAGCTGCTGACCCCTGTGCTTGAATTAGGCAAAAGCTGAAGAAGCTGAGGAGGAAGGTGATGCCATAAGAGGACCAGCAGTCTCAACTAATCTGGACCCCCCCGGGATCTCTTAGACACTGAGCCACCAACCAGGCAGCATACACCAGCTGATATGAGGCCCCCAACACATATACAGCAGAGGACTGCCTTCTCTGGCCGCAGTGACAGAAGAGACACCTAACCCTCAAGAGATTGGAGGCTCCAGGGAGTGGGGAGGTCTGGTGGGATGGGTGGGGACATCCTCTTGGAGATGGTCGGGGTGGGGGGGATGTGTGGGGGTGGATGAGGAGGGAGATAAATTCTGGACTGTGAAACAAAAGATTGAATAATAAAAAAATGTTAAAAAAAGAAAGAAAAAAGAAAGAAAGAAAGAAAGAAAGAAAGAAAGAAAGAAAGAAAGAAAGAAAGAAAATGGAGTGGGCTAAGCTAAGAAAGGAGGATGTCAGATCATTTCCATTTCCCAAAATTATGGTCCTATATATGGGAGACCTCAATCTAAATGATTTTCTAGAAAACTCTTAGAAATAATAAACCTTTACTGCAAAGTAGTGAGTTACAAGCAATACACAAAAACTAATAGCTTTTCCTAAATGCCAGTAATAAAAATGCTGAGAAAAAAAATAAGAAAAGAGCTGCCACTTTCACAATATGTTAAAAATACCTTAGAATAAATCTAACTAACAATGCCCCAGACTTCTATAATGAAACTTTTAAATCACTGAAAAGAGAAATTGAAGAAGCCACTAGATGACAGAAAGACTTTCCATGCTAATGGATCAGCAGAATATTGTGAAAATAGTTACATAAACACAGCAGCCTACACATTCAATGCCTTCTTCATCAATGACACTTTACAGAACTTTTTTTTTCAAATCCATAGGAAGGACAAAAGACTAAACAGCCAAAGCAATTCTGAGCAAAATCTACAATTCTGAGGTATCACTACTTGCAGTAGAATATTTCTCTCACTACTTTGTATAAAGCTCAGTGATTGGGCTGTATGAGAAGTAGGCAGAGTGAGGAGTTGGGAGGAGAAGGAAGAGGAGCTAGGAAGAGGAGGGGGACCGGAGGAGAGAGGAGAAGATGGCTGCAGATGTGCCCGTGTCTCTAGCAGTCTAAGGAAGTTGTAGTATCTAGGTTAGGTATTGGGTAATACCTCCATTGTGTGGGCAAATTGTTAACTGAGGATTTCTAAGTATATAAAGCCTTTGGATAATAGTCAAGCTTTAGAGTCTCATTTCTACCGGGTACCGCGTAGATGGTGGGATGGTCAGGGCTCAGCCAAACTGGATATAGTGTGGTAGATTGGCAGAGCCATCTCCCTTGCCGTCTCGTGGGTGCCAGGGCCGGTGCTTCTGGCCGGTCAGAGCCTAGAGGCAGCGAGAGCACGCTGCCACTCTGGCCTCAAGCCTTTTCTTGTCGGGAACATGGCAGCACCTTAACAACAAGCTAGATTAGGTGCCACCATTTGTAAATTTTAACCACAACAACTACTTCTAATTTCAGTCACATTATAGAGCCATAGCAACACAACCAGAGTACCACTAACATAAGAACATACATTAAGATCAGCAAAACAGAACAGAGGGCCCAGAAATAAATCCACTCAGCTACAGTGATGTGGTTTTCTACAAAGAGGGCAAAAACACCTTGTAAAAGAGACAATTTCTTCAACAAATGGCGCTGGGAATATTAGACAGCCTGTTACGGAAGAATGAAACTGGATCCATATCCTCATCCTGCATAAAATCAATTAAAAATTGATCAAATATTAATGTAAGACTTGAAATTATGAATTGTTATGAGAAAACATTTCAAATATAGGTATATGTAAGGAGTTTCTGAAGAGAACTCAAATAATAAATGAAGTAAAATCAAGAATGTGCAAATCAGACTTTTTAAATCATGCTGCTTCCCAGCAAATGAAACAGATGAGAAGGCAGACTACAGAATGGGAAATGTCTTTCCTGACTTAGAGCAGACAAACGATTAGCATGTAGACAACTGGATCCATATCCTCATCCTGTATAAAATCAATTAAAAATTGATCAAATATTAATGTAAGGCTTAAACTATAAAATTGTTATAAGAAAATGTTTCTAATTATAGGTATATTCAAGGAGTAAGGATATAAGTATATATGTCCTTACATACGTATACATAAGGATAACATATAACTAAAACCCAAATAAACCAAACAACTCAGTTGATAAATGAGCTAATGGATAAATACATTATGATAAATGTAATCAAATGATAAAGAGAAATGGCCAATAAGCACGCGGAAAAATATTTAACATGTTTAGCCAGTAGGAAATGCAAATTTAAACTATATCAAGACGTCATGTCACCCTAGTCAGAATAGCAACCATTAGAAAAATAATCAATTCTAGCAAGGATGGGGTGAAAAGGGAACCTGTATGCTGCTAGTGGTCATATAAATTAGTCTGTCCACTATGGAAATCTGTATGCTCATGAAGTTTTCCCCCAAACAAAAAAAAGAACATATGCTCCAGCTGTACTACCCTTGAATATACATCAAAAGAACTTTAGTTAACATACCAGTGATACTAGCCTGTCTTCTTCCTCTCTTTCTTTCCCTCCCTTCTCCCTTTTTCTCCCTCTCTCTTTGGTAGCAGTAATTTACAACAGGTAAGTTATAGAACAAGTACAGAAGAACGAATGAAGAAAATGTTGTATGATTACACAGTTGAATTCTATTCAGTCATAAAAAGTGAAATTGTGCAGGCTTGGGAGATGGGTCAACAGTTAAGAACACTATGTACTCCTTCATAGGACCTGGATTTAATTCCTAGCACCTCACAGCTGTGTGTAACAGCTGACCTGATATCAGTCTGTCATCTATCTATCTATCTATCTATCTATCTATCTATCTATCTATCTATCTA